GGCTACCACGTTGTAAAATAAGCCAACTCACTTCGTGAACTCGGCAACCAGGTTACCGTTTGTTTTATAACCTCTGGTTCTTTTTTAGCGGTAACCATGCTGGTGGTCGAGTAGATCATGTTGTGCGGGGTCGAGAACCCTCACTCCGCGCAAGGGGGATGATCGCACCACGTTGTGTTAAAATGGTCAAGCACCCTCGAGGCAGTTACACAGTGCTTACAACTGTCTCTGGAAGTGAAAGCACCAGAAAATAAATTAAGTCATACGCAGCTGTCATCCGTACGCAAGGAAGTAAGCACAAGATGCCGAAAACCCTTAGCAGGATGCAGCGCACCCTTCATGCGACTCGCCGAATATCTCACGGCGCTTCGCGCTTGGTGATGTGAGAGCCTGGTCCGGTGAGAACCCGGCGTGCTCCGTCCCGGCTTTGTAGGGATGCGAGGTCAATGGTCTAACGACTACGGCATGCACGACTATGAGTACACGCCCCCCCCCCCTCTCTCTCTCACTTGAGCGTGTCGATCGGGATGGCGAAGCCGATACCCGCGGAGCCCCCCGAGGGCGAGTAGATGGCCGTGTTCATGCCGATGATGCGGCCAACGCTGTCCAGCAGGGGGCCCCCGCTGTTGCCGGGATTAATCGCGGCGTCCGTCTGTATGACGTTACTGATTGGACGCCCGCTGGGCGATTTCACCTCTCTCCCCAACCCAGAAACCACGCCCATGGTCAAGGTGTGGTCCAGGCCGAAAGGGTTTCCAATGGCCAATGCTAGTTGGCCTACCTGGGGGAACGATCGCCAACCGAGGGCGAGGGGGTGGGGGGCTCAAACGCTGCTCGCATTGACAGATTCGATCAGCAGCATGTCATCATGCTCGAGGCGAAGAGTCCCGCAGCTGCCCCTCGGGGCAGGCAGTCCTCAGCATTCCGTGCGTGGTTTGCAAGGCTGTCCCGCCAAACAATTTGCAAGAAGGAAAGAAGAGAGAAGCACCACCGTGTGTTGTGACACTCTACCCAACGGTTGGAAGCGACACAAGGGTAGTCGGTCAAACCGAGAGAGGTTTCCGCTGATACCTAGGAAGACGGGGGACGGCGACCAAAACGTGAAGGCACTACAATAAGTCCACTTGACTTCGGTCGCATTCACACGTAGGCTATTTGTACCATATTCATGGGCTTGGTCGTACCTTAAGGGCGTTGGAGGCCCCCAAGCCGATTGGTCGAAGCAACTCCGACGGGGCATCGATCTTGAGCACGGCTACGTCCTTGTCCGGATCGTACCCCTATCGCACGCAACAGCGGTCGTCATCGGTAGCAAACAAAATAAATGTTAGGAATGTGTTGATGTAGTTGTGGTTGTGGTTGTTGTTTTCTTTGTTGTCGTCTTTGATGTTGTTGTTGGTGGTGGTGTGTTCGCTTGAAAGAAACGCTCCGATCTCTGCCCGATACCTTCTGATTTCTGCACTGGTCCAACTGACACGGACGCCTTCCATGGGGGGTCGCAGGCAAATTACCCAAAACATTGTGTGAACAGTCGAAAGAGATGCGTGGCCGATGATAAAAATGACGAAAGCAAGCATCAAACAAGTACCCCTGCTCCCCCCCCGAGTGCAAAGACCGTGTTCATGTAGTTGCGGAATGTCGGTTGTACAAGAAGGAGGTACGTGTTCATGACTGAGCTGGGAAAAGTAGGAAGGTACAGAGAGATATTTGAGGCATGGAATAGCCAGGACAAGACGGTAGCTGTACTCGGGCATAGGAAGTGGATTAAAAGGCGGAAAGTGATATCGATAGGATAGATAAGGGAGGCGATTTTTTTAACCTTCGGCAAAGTAGGCAGGAACAATTGGCCATCGGTGATCGGTCCTGTGGGAACAATGCTCCGTCCTCTCGAGGACGCGTGGTCAATGGTCTAACCGCTAAGGCATGCAAAACATAAGGGTGACCCCCCCCGGCGCTGCGCGCTTGGTGATGTGAGAGCCTGGTCCGGTGAGAACCCGGCGTGCTGCGTCCCGGCTTTGTAGGGATGCGAGGTCAATGGTCTAACGACTACGGCATGCACGATTATGACTATGAGTATGAGTACACCCCCCCGCCCCCCCTCCGCCCTCCCCCCCGTTCTCACCTTGACTTGCGCCTGGAAGGTTTTCTGTGTACCATCCCCCAAGGTCAGACGTACTTGTGCCGATTGCGCTTCCCTGGAGAGAGGCGAACACGCGCGAGGGACAAAGAACGAACAAGCAAAAAAAAAAAACGTGGTCACGAAAACGAAACAAAAGGTACGCAACTAAGAGACGTGACCGCCCATCTGTATCGTTTTCCGGTGGTGCAATTGGCGATAATTGTCCACAAAGCAAGGATGCCACGGAGCTTTACACTGCTGTTGTTTCTCTCGCCAGAGCCAGAATGAGCATGGCATGGCTGCTCACCGCAGGAAACGCCGGGCCGAGGGGACAGGGGGCGGAGAATATGGCATGGCAACCGCTTTGGGACAGGGCGATTCTACGAAAAAGTACACTAAATCCTCGCGCGGATAGAGGTGCCCTTTCAGTTCTGGGACGTTTCGTGACAACCAACTTATCCCATGGACGGAGGTTTTGTGTCTGTAAGAACCAAAACAAAGAAACTAGAGTACCGGCTAAAACTGCCTTGAGAACTCGCCAGAGAGAAGACGCACAGCGGCGGGCGAAAGAACAAATAGAGAACCAAAGCTTTCAACACCGTCACAGAGCCAAGCAAAGCCGTAACAACGTTGGCGGAGGGGCTGGGTGTACACGTGGCAATCCATGTGGGTGTCGGCACCGACCTTTTCGCTCCTGCAGACAGAAACACACGTGACTGACGTTCCTGCTTACAAACATGAAACGCCCATGGTACAGAGAAGTTTCAGCAGAGAAAAGGCGCGGTTCGGCTATCGACGGCAACGTGCGAGACTTCCTAGGGGATTACTGCGGCGGTGGCGACAAGGTTGGCGGCAGAGGTGGCGGTAGTGGCGAGGCAGTCGAACAACTAAGTAGGGGTGGAACAGCGGGCAATGCGCAACGCACCGAATGACGTGAAAGTTGGTGACGATGTTTCCCTGATCGTCCCACACGAATCCCGATCCCGTACCAGCTGGGACCTCCAACACGTTCATGCTGAAGGCGTCCCGCTGGTTGACGAACGTGTTGATGTACACTACGCCCGGAGTTGACTGCTCGGGTGCAGAGCGTCAAGGGAGAGGGAGGAACGGGAAGAGAGGAGCGTCATAGGGATGGTTAGAATATACAACGGTCGGGGGGGTGGGCTGTCGAAATGGCAGAGGGGACCTGGGGCACATACTATAATCGTAGTCGCTCAAGAGAACTTGTGGGCGATAGATGCCGCTCTGCTGTTCAACGACTGTGGTGTTTTGTTGCTGCTTTTGTTGTTCTCTTGATACCCTGAACCGTTACACTCTTGAGTGGAGACAACAAAGAAACGAGGGGCAGTGCATGAGGGGAAATTTGTCGCGGGGACGAATACTCCTACTGTAACGTTGCCTGTGGCTGTTTCGACGCAGAATACTCGGGAGCAACAGCTGCTGCCATAGCCTTTGCCTGTACCCAGAAACCACAAGGGTGTCCTGTTGACATCCCAAAAGCGACCGCTGCCGATGTAACCGCTCGCTTTTGATCAATGCAAATGCCGCGTGTTGAATTGGTCAGACAACACCCACCCCCGTGCTGGAGCTGTTTCGCAGCCGTCGATGACTGCGGCGCTTCCAACTTTCAGTTGGTTGTCTCTACTTGAGTCTACACGTACAATCTGTGTTGAACCCCACCGCCAGACCGGGCGTCTCGACGGTCTGTCCCGATTCGTCTCTCAAAACAAGTTGCGTAGGTAACACAAAGACAAGTTGATGAGGTTGCAAACGCCCCTTAACTTCTTCAGCACCCAAAAACAAAGCAAATAGACAGTGGTAAAACCTCAACCGTGGCCGTCATGGGATCATCACCTACGCTTTCCCGATTACACGTGGAGAGTGAGAGAGGAGTCAAGCTTCGAGATCATGATCCACAATGCAAACACCTTAAACTTGTTCCATCAGTCGAACGGTTTGAACAAACAACTGAGGCGGTCGAAAATGCCTCGAATCAGTATAATCTTCCCTGATGTATCTTGGGTGTCCGGTGGCACCTGCCTCGCAGGAACACCAAACAATATGATGGTTGTGTCGCTGCTGGTCATGTTCGAAGCACGAAAGATGATGGCAGATCTACAGCAGTCTCTGTTGTGCACAGCAGTTCAACATGGCATTGACTCACAATGTCAAAGGGTCAGACTGACAGCAATCATTTTGTAGGCCAATACCTTCTCGAATATCGATATGTATCCCTTCTCGTCCTGCATCAGGCTTGGTGCCATCGCGGCTTGGGCAGCGGAAGAGGTGAACCCCGGCAAGTAGGACGTCGTCAACCCGCCGCTCAACACGCTGAGCCCGACAGCGGCAGAGACCAAGCCTCGCTTCCAGTCGGACAACCAACCGCTCCCCACGCCATCGCCTTCATCTCCACTGCCTCCCGAGTCGGATAGCGCCATCGCAACCAAGCTCCGCCGCTGGGTTGGAAAGCCGATCCTTGCTGTTGTTGCTGCTGGTGCTGCTGCTGGTCGAGTTGAAGCGGATGATCCATGGTAGTGTCGTGAGGCAAGATTGCTCGGCAGTGTATTTTGGAACGCCGAAGGCGGCACGCAAAACGTCTCTGCGGGGCTTGCAAAGAGAAGGAGCACAGAGCCACCGGCAATGGCAAGGGCACGGGGCGTGGCCAGAGATGCCTTCATCATTTGCAGGGGTGTCGATGCTCGTATGAGCTGGGTGCTGCTGATCAGTTGGGCGCGCGTTGAGCAGGGGGTTAATTCTGCAATCTGCGTGGACCCTTCGTCGGGGTTTGTTCTTTCGACAAGACATTCGAACTCGCGTGTGGTCCAAGAGAGTGCTTGGCCATGAACTTTGGCGCGTCGGGCGCCTTCGAATCTGGCATACACCCGCCTCCTTCTTTCTGGTCCACCTCGGCAGTGAATCAGGTGCGTGCGGGGAGTTTGGACCTCTCGTCCTGCTCGAAAATTTAATTCCGAAACTGCTCGCGAATCACGCCGCATCCACAGCTGCGGCAATCGTAGACTAAGTGTACAGCAGTGTACAGCGTGTGCTTCCCTGATGCCCCGTAGAGCTTGAACCACGTTATTGAAGAGACAGCGCTTGTGTGCATCGATGTTCATAATCGGTTCGAGATCTGGGCTCGTCAAGAAATCCATTCTAGATTTACCACCGTTGTCCTTGGCTTTCGTAAAAGATTCTTTGCCGCACACTGGCTCTATTGTACCAGAGAATGCTCCAAAGGTTTGTTGTTCGCTCACAGCAGGGCGAAGAAAGCCGCAGGATGATAGCTACGGCGCGCTTGGGGAGGAATGCTCAGAATCCTATATGTATTTGGAGAGGTGATGGGTGTCCTGGCCCACTCGGTTGCTTGAATGTCGAGAAAATGACGTCACCTCCTTTCATCCGTCCTGTGCCTCGGGTACAAAGCACAAGTATGAGTCGATCATCTACCAGGTGCACAGGAGAAAAGATGCTGCGTCACCGTGTCAGGTTGCATCTGAATGGCTGCTATGTGGGCACAAGGCTATCAATAAATATTACTCGTGCGGGCATGAGGCAACTGTATGTGTTCTCATGTACGTGTAATCATGCGGACGCAGGAATAGTCCAAGGAATTATCAAATCTTGATAGGTACATGGTCGAGACTTGGAGCAAAACATCCAGGCATTTACTGAAGCAGCAATCAAGACCCGAGGAGATCAATCACGAGTTGTTCCCGAACAATGGATGACATGCACCCCACGAGATGTGGCACCAAAGCCCTCACCCTCCTCACTTTCTCCCAAAGCACGCGATGCAAAACCGCAACATACCCGAGCCCCCCCACCCTCGTACTAATCCTAAAACGTAGGCTGTGCCCGCGGCGGACGCCGATGACTTCCACGCGCCGTTCGGTGGACACCGTCCTCAAGGTCACAGGGAATACGACAGTAGGTGCGATGTAGCAGCAACCGCAGACACGGTTTGCAGCATGCTTCGGACTCTGGAGAACGCCAGCGACCGTCGCAAGAAGCCGCCTGGGGTGGTGGAAGCAGGCGCTGGCAAAGGTTCTGGTGGTGGTCGCGTTGTCGGTGGAAAAGTTCGGGGTAGTGTAAAGCGCCTCCGCCCTCGGCGGAACTTGGCGGGCGGTTCGCGTCGAGAACAGCAGGCGCGTAGCTCTTCGAGCCTGGCGGGGACCAGCGATTCTTTCGCGGGCGGTGGAGGTGGCGGCGACAACCCGACAGTTAGGTGAGAAGAGCAGTCCAGGTGGGACAACAAAAGTTATTTTAAATAATGTCATCTACCCGACCAAGCTGGATTCGGTCCGTTGTGCAGAGGTGACTAGCTGTTGTTGCTACGTCGCTGCTTCATCACTCTGTTGGGTATCCGCCCGGGCCTCATTCGAACAACAACGCTATCGGCTTGGTGTTCAACGCGGCCTCTCGCCCCCCCGCACACACACATGCGACAATTCTGGCCTAGTGTCGAGGGAGATAAAGTTGTCGATGCCTACATCTTGGAGGTTGTAACTACATCTTTTCGATACCTTGCCTGAAACGTATCACGCTTTTGGCAACTTTAGAAGAGAGCGTCACCGTCAGCTGCTACGCAACAACGATTTCAACAATATCAATTCGAACTATTAATATAAAGACTGCTCCGACAATGGCGACGACAACTGTTACATGACTGCAGCCAATAACACTGCTCGGAAGTCAACCAACCTTGTGTCCTAAGCACGACAATCATGCACAGGAGACAACGCACCGCGTCCCTGACGGAAAACGCCCCGCGTCGTGAGGCAAAACGGAAAGACATGATCAAAGAAAAAGGGCTGAGCTGCAGCATCGTGTGGCCTGACGAACGCAGATTCCGTGACAAGGGTAGGAGACTTCGTCTGTTTATTGGTTATTTCCAGACCTTACGTCGGGTGGTGGCCTGGCTACAGGGTTTTCCTCGTTCCTTGTCAACAAGAGCAGAAACAACGACGCGCAACTATTATTTTTCTGCAGCGAAGCCGCATCAGCGCTTGTCCGACGATGTGAACCCTCTGCCGCGAATGAGCGTCAGATCATTGTTTCCTACCGTGGATGCATCAAACACGAAAAGCAAACCTTCAGAGGCTAATCAAGCATCGCTTCACAACTACGATCCTGGTGGGGCGATGGTGGGCCAGCCCCTCGGTCGCCTTAAGACGATATATTTTCTTGAACCAAGATGAATCCCACATCTCTCCTCATAACCTTACTCACAACGGTTGAAGAAAATAGCAGTAAGCGACCTAGTGATCACCTACAACGACGGCGAGGGAGAGTGTGGTGCGTACCACCCTACGGCTCACTCGTCTGCTCCTTCTCTCGTGGTACCTGCCAACACGCACGACCAAGAAACTTGCTCCGCCGCTTCAGTCCAAGCCGGAAGTATTTGTCCCCTTTCCTCCTCCTCTTTTTGATCCCCCCCCCCCCCCCCCC